AGACCGCCTTCCTAGGACACATCATATCGAAGGAAGGGATATCAGTGAATCCCGAAAAGGTTGAAGCGGTACTTGGCTGGGAGAAGCTGACATCAGTTAAGGAAATTCATAGCTTTCTGGGGATGGCAGGTTATTACCGCAGGTTCGTTGAAGGATTCTCTAGTCTACCAGCTCCTCTAACTCGACTCACAAAGAAGAATGCCAAGTTCGAGTGGAATGAGGACTGCGAAAGAAGTTTTTCAGAATTAAAGAAGTGGCTGACTATTGTACCCGTGCTGGCTTTATCGAGTGGATCAGGAGGATATACAGTTTATAATGATGCCTCCTATCTAGGCCTGGGTTGTGTTCTGATGCAGCATGGAAAGGTTATAGCATATGGGTCCAGACAATTAAAGAATCATGAGAAGAACTATCCCACCCATGACATAGAGCTTGCTGCAATCATCCATGCCTTAAAAACCTGACGCCATTATTTATACGAAGAGACCTTTCAGATCTATACCGATCATAAGAGTTTGAAACACATATTCACTCAGAAGGATCTTAACATGCGTCAGAGAAGGTGGATGGAACTCCTTAAGGATTATGATTGTGATATCTTATACCATCTGGGTAAGGGCAATGTGGTAGCAGATGCTCTCAGCAGGAAAAGTGCAGGTATCTTAGCCCATTTGATGGTTTCAGAATGTAGGCCAATTGGGGCCACGCAACAGGTTCGACTTCAGGATCTGAAGAGAGTCACATGTTTGGGCCGCCTAACAGTCCAACCCGAGTTAATCTAAAGAATAAGGGAAGCCCAGTCAGTCGACTCCGCCTTAGTAGCCCGCAAGAAGGATGCAGAACAAGGAGTGAGCTTAGAATTCCGAATCTCTGCCGATGGGTTACTTCGTTTCCAAGACAGTGTGTGTCCCAAATGACCGTGAGTTAAAAAGAGACATCATGACGGAGTCCCATAGCTCGAAGTTTGCCATGCATCCAGGAAGCACCAAAATGTACCAAAGCATGCGACCCCAATTTTGGTGGAATGGGATGAAGAGAAACATAGCCGACTTTGTATCTAAATGCTTAGTATGTCAGCAGGTCAAGGCAGAGCATCAGTGCCCAGGTGGGTTACTTCAGCCTTTACCGATCTCGGAGTGAAAGTGGGAACATATCACCATGGACTTCGTATCGGGGCTACCCAAGGCACGTTCAGGACATGATGCCATATGGGTAATTGTTGACCGAGTTACCAAGTCTTCCCATTTTCTAGCCATTAGGATGACCGATTCCTTGGATAAGTTGGCAAGGATGTATATCCGAGAGATAGTCAGATTGCATGGAGTTCTAGTGACAGTAGTATTCGACAGGGATCCCAGGTTCACTTCTCGATTTTGGAGTAGCTTTCAGCAAGCTATGGGAACAAAGCTGTCTCTTAGTACTGCCTTCCATCCCAGACTGATGGATAATCAGAAAGGACAATTTGTACACTTGAGGATATGCTTCGAACTTGTGTCCTGGACTCTGGGGGCCATTAGGATGACCATCTTCCCCTGATAGAGTTTGCCTACAACAACAGCTACCAAGAAAGCATCGGCATGGCTCCATATGAGGCGTTATATGGGCGTCCGTGCAGATCACCGATTTGTTTGGAGGAAGTGGGCGATAGAAGATTGTTCGGCCCGGAGTTGGTAGAGGAGACCACGTCCAAAATAGTTAAAATTACAAAGAACATTCAGACATCTCAGAGTAGGCAGAAGAGTTATGTAGATACCCAGAGGAGAGACCTAGCATTTGAGAAAGGCGACCGAGTGTTTCTTAAGGTCACTCCTTTCAAGGAAATTAGTAGGTTCGGCAGGAGGGAAAAATTAAACCCCTAATTTATCGAACTTTTTGAAATCTTAGACAGGATTGGTACTGCTGCTTACAGACTAGCACTACCTCCAGAGCTCTCTAGAGTCCACAACGTGTTCCACGTATCCATGCTACGTAAGTACAACCCGGACCCTTCTCATGTCTTGGCTCATGAACCGCTTCCACTCCAAGAGGACTTGTCTTATGAAGAAGTACCAGTCGATATCACGGACCGAAAGAACAGGATACTCCGCAACCGAAAAATATCATTTGTAAAGATCGTGTGGCAGAACCACACGCCTAGGGAGGCAACCTGGGAGCTAGAATCGGATTTTAGAGTCCAGTATCCCCATTTGTTCGACTAAGAGTGAGAGACAAATTTGGGGGACCAAATTTCCTTAAGGGGGGGAGAGTTGTAACACCCAAAATATTTTTTTTATATTATTTTTTTTTTATTTTTTGTATTTGAATTTTTTAGATTTTAATTTAATTTAATTTAATAAAAATAAAAATAATAATAATGACAAAATTGGGTTAAAATATTATTTGAATTTAATTGAAATTGATTTTAGGAAAAAGAGATGAAAATTTGGATTCTGGGGGTGTTTTTGAAAAGAAAATCGGAAACCGAGGGTCAAAACACAATTTAGAAAAATTGTGCCACGTCAGTAGCCACGTCAGCAGCCCGATCAGCAGCCCCGACCAACTAGGACACGCCGCGTGGCAAGGAAACGCTGACACGAGACATGCCACGTGGGCGATCCGCGTGCGCGCGATCGGACGGCCCAGATCCGTTCCTGCGCGCACGGACGACCCAGATTTCACGCGTACGAACGGCCCAGATTCAATCAGGCATGGACGGTCCAGATCGCATCGCGATGGACGGTCCAGATTTAATCCAAATTAAATTGCGATCGAACGGTCTAGATTTAATCTTGATGGACGGTTGAGATCAAAAGGCAAAGGGTATAAATAACCCCACTCACAGCTAACCACAAAACCCTAGCTGCCAGTGCCTCGCCGGAGAAGAAGAACCAGACGCCGGAGGAGCCAGCCACTGCCACCCGCCGCCGCACTAGAGAATTTTTCGACCGATAATCGAGGTAAATTTTCTCTCCCTAGCTCGTTTTTCGATGTTGAATCTGCCTATGGCCAAACTGGAGCCAAACCACCGGCCAATCAGCCGAAAAACCCTGCCGAAGTCCAGCGCCGCTGCCACGACTCCCCTCTATTTTTGCCTCCGATGAGGCCTTTCCCGGCCTCCGTTCGATGCAAATTTTATACCACTGTGATCACCGTTCTTTTCTCTACAGGTTGATCGGAGCCAAACATCAAAACGCGACTCACGCCAGAGGAGCCGCTGCACCCGAGAGCACCGCCGCCGGTAAGTCTCGATTTTTCGTAATTTTTTAGCCCACCGAAGGCCCTAAGATTGTTTCATCGCAAGGACCAATGCAAGTTTGGCCGAAAACGGCCA